GGGAAAAGCCGCTCCCAGACCACGAGGAGTGTGGGCAGCGAGCTGCATTGCACCACGCAGACACCGTCCTCCCACCGCGGAAAAGCAGCTCTGGGACTCACGGCAGAGGAAGCCAGCGAGCACCAAAACCTTGTCTGCCTCATGAGCGAGTGCCCCTACCCTGCGGGCAGACTGCCACAGGAAAATGTGTCAGACCAAACACCCAGCTCCCGTCCTGGCAGCCCCCTGCCCCAACTCGCCCAACCACCCAAATTCCCAGAGCTGCATAAAGGTCCTACACCACACAAACCCTCTGCCTAGGAAAGGCAGGAGGGTGGATGGGCATCCCACACCAGGACCACTGCACATTCCATGTCACCCATGGGGCACACAGTGGCCATGGCAGAGATGTGCCCTGAGCTCTGGGGGTGTCCCAGGGGTGCAGGTCGAGAGGGAGCTAAGCCCTCCTGGGGCAGGTCCTGAGGGTATGACTGTGCTCCACACACCAGCCCTCGCACCATCACTCTCCTCCGGAGCTGCCAGCAAAGCCCAGGCTCCCAGCATGTCACTGGAGATGGCCTGAGAGGTGCCCCAGAGCCTCTTCTCAGATGCCCTCGACCAAACACCTCAGCGATCACCAGCCCTTCTACAAGCAACCGGCTCCAGGCAAAAGGATGTGGGGCTTGGATTTACCCCAAGCAGAGAAACGTGGCCCATAAGGATTATGCCCCTGCCCTGATAGGCACAAGAGGTATTTCACGGGCTCCTCCTCTGACTTGTGCTTACCAGCATGCTCATCATTACAGACAGGCTGTTGGCACGTCCCAATTCACAAGGGCTGGAGCAGACGTTGACAGATTGGGACAGGCTTGCGGTGATGGGGTTCATGCACCCAGCAGCAAAGGGCAGCATCTACACCCGCTTCCACCAGCTCACCAGGGTGCAAGGACACAGACGAGCACTTAGCAGGTACAGTCCAGCCCGGACACCACCTCTGTCCCTTGGCAGGGCCAAAAGCATGCCAGCCTGGCAGGGATGCAGGAGAGGCTCAGCAGGCGCTGCTCCAGTCCCCATCCCTATCGACAGCCACTTGCTATTAATAGGAGCGGATTCCAGCTCAGGGGTGAGAAAGGAAGAGGCACAATTTCCCAGGCCCAGATGTCCTATGCGAGGCCCCAAGCCCAGTGGGATCCTGCCCTCCTCTCAGCAAGGATCTAAGCATGGGCGCTGCTGGGGACCTTTGGTGCATCTGCTGCCCCAGAGAGCGAATGGCCACGGCAAAACCAGGCTGGGAAGGGCTGGAAGGTGCTTAGGGGCACCGGGAGCTTCCGAGATGGAAAAGGTCCTCAGGGCTCCCTCCAGCATCGCCGGTGACTCCTCTCTGCAGTGCTTCTGATGCTCAGGAGTGATGGACCGGAGTCACTTGCCCAGGCACAGGGTACTCCCACAGGCACATGAAGAAGGGGCAGCAAGCAGCGGGCTGGGCGAGGTATGGCTGCCTGTATCAGGCAGGAACATGTGTGCCTCAGGACAGGCTGCAGTGCCCTCCCCATGCCTGCTTGCATAGCACTGCCCTGGGATGCACCCAGCTGTCCTGTAGCAAGCTGAGATTCATCCTGCCCACCTTGCTCACACAAAGGTTACCTGCTCCCCAGACACCGATTAAGTGCCAAAATCCAGAGTACGGCTGCCTTCCTCTGCAAACACCTCACATCTTCCCCGCCCTGTCCCTGCCCCACTTGGCACTGCCTGCACAAGGTGGTCATGGCTTTCCCACAAGAGCCATGTGTGGCGGGATTCCTAGGCAGGATTCCTGCAGCACAAGGGTGGCTATCAGCACGGGGAAACCCCCGAGGGGCACTCGCGTCCCGGCACAGGCAGGGCACGGCAGCCCAGGGCAGCCAGTGACTGCACATGCCTCAACCGGCACGGCCCGCCCCGGCACCCTGCCTTCTGCTCACCTCCAGGGACGCTGCCTCGACAGAAAGCAACTCCAACATCGCATCGTAAATTGTGCAATAGCACTGTGCTGGCACCTGCCCTGCTGTGTCAGCACCGTGCCGCCCACCCCAGGCTCCCACGTCCCCCCATGCCTGTCTGTTCCCACAGCCAAGGGGGCTCCGGACCCTCCTCGCAGCCTCCCGCCAGGTCAGTGCAGCAGCTTGGAGCACCCCGAAGGCTGCAGCTGCACCCAGGAGTCAGCCCCATCCACCCCGACTCAGACTGCCCCAGGGGTCTCTTGGCACCAGAGCCAAGAGGACCCGCGAGCACTTGTCCATGCACGGAAGCCACCCGGGTGTGTTTCCACACAGTGTGGATCTGGGCGCAGCTACGGCGCAGCCAGGCCACCCACCTGGAAGGCATCTCGCAAGCCCAGCTGCGCAGGGTTAGGTCCCCTTGGCGCAGGCACCGAGCGCTGTGAGATGGCATCGCGGTGAGCCCAGCACTGGGTCGGGCTCTCGGCATCTGCCCCGGCCTCAGCGTGGGTCGGAGGAGCCGTGCAACGCTCCGGTCCCTTCCACGTGGGGGCATTCGCAATCTCGCAGCCCTTTGCCATGAACATTAACCCACTGCCCTGCCTAAATGTCGATTTGCATAACCTCAGCCTGCCTCCCACGCTCTCCGTCGGAGCACGTCTTCTCCCTCGGAAAGCTGCATGGTGCCAGGTCTCCTTTCTGATGAACGGCAGCCACCCACCGCGACCGACGCGGCTGCACCTCGGCAGTGGGTGCCGCAGCTCTTCGCTACCCCCGAGCGCCCGCAGCCCCGGCGGGGACTGCCAAGCACTCCCAAAAACGTCGGGGGAAACAACCTTGCTGCTGCTCTGAGCTCATGGGGAGATAACACGCAAGAAGAGGACTCCTAGCACAAAAACGTAGTAGGGTACCACCAGGAGCTGCCTGCCCTTGCAGGTGAGAAAGCCTCCATGCTCAGCCACACAGAGCCCCTTTGGTCCAGCTGAGCTCGAAACGCCACTCCGCACCCCCAGCAGCCTGCGATCCGGCAGAGTTTCCCCCTTTCACTCCCTCCCTCCTTTGTGCTTTCTCCCCATGTTCCTCGCTCCCTCTCCGACCTCCCATTTTGGGATACAGCGCCGGCTCGCTTCCCTCCTTGACATCCAACACCATCCAACAACACTTTCCCGCCGAGCTCAGGCAGACGCTGCCATTACCAGAGCGCGGCTCGGCATGTGCAGGGGGGGTGGGGGCGGTTTGCGGCGGGGTGAGGAGCCAGCACAACCGCGGGCCGCTGCTAATCGCATGAAGGAAAGGCGCCGGTGCAGCAGGCTGCTCCCAGGAGACCTCAGCCGGGGGACACAGGGATGGACCACGCACCCGAGGGACTCGGGATCATTTGAACAGAGCGAAAGGCACCCCTTAGCAGAGCCAGGCAAGGAGACCAGAGGGTCAGCCCTATTCATCTAGCCCCCTCCATCCTCTGCTTTTCACATTTTAGGGGGTACGCAGCCCAAAGCTGCTGCAGGGCACTCAACAACACTGAAACATTTGTGCCGTTCACAGCGTGGATGCTGCCTGGCAGCAATGTGGCCACCGGTGCTGCCTGCTTGCCTGAACTCCAGTAGAAGTTCCACGGCTGGTGTGTGGTGGGCAGGGCAGTGGGCTTCGCTTCTCGCTTGGACATTCTGCTCTCTCATGGGCTGGGCACACGATGCCCTGCGCTCAGCCACAGAGAGCACTGGGATCCTGCCAGAGCCTCCTGTCCCTGCTGGGACCCAGCCCTGAACCAGACCCGGGTCAAAGCCCTGTGGGATGAGGCCTGTTACAGGGGATGCCAGCGCAGGACCACCTTGCTGTGCCCCCGAGGAAGAAGCCCCTGTCTTCAGATCAGTCCCAGGCTGTGGGGGGACCAGTGGTGCTCATGGCCCAGAGAAGAGGGGAAGCCAGGTGTTATTCCTGATGCTCAGTGAGCCAGGAGGAACCAGGACATGCAGAGATGCACACAGAGTGCAAGTCCCAAAGCAGGGACCAGCCACAGCAGCTAGGTCCTAGCCTACGAAACTCATCTGAGCACTATGTCCCTTGAAAGCAAGCTGCCCAGGGAGGTTGTGGAGTCTCCTTCTCTGGAGGTATTCAAGACCCGCCTGGACAAGGTCCTGTGCAGCCTGCTGTAGGTGACCCTGCTTCGGCAGGAGGGTTGGACTGGATGACCCACAGAGGTCCCTTCCAACCCCGACCAGTGCCCCTCTGCTCACGCTGCCCACAGCCAACTCTCCAGGCCAGTCTACAGCAAGCACAGCACAGGGCACAGTGTCTAGGGAAGTGGGGTGCACAACCCGAGCATCCTTCTGCCAAGCCTCACGAGGAGCCTCTCTACGGGAAGGCTGTGCCGTTCCAGCCCTACCTCCACCAGCACAGCCCTGGTTTCTCCATCCAGACGCACATCCCATGCCCTTTCAGCCCGGGGACACCACCCCGCGCGTTGCCCATGGGGGCACTGATCCCTCCCAAGCCCGGCTGCATTAAAGCCCCTTTGTGTTTATAAACTCTGACCCACTGCAAGCCTTTGGGATCAGCCTTTAATCTGCCCCTGGTAGCAGAGGTCGCTGCAGGGATTGTTCTTTGTGTTCCTGGGGGAGGACTGCTCAGGCCAGCTCTCCCCAGAGGGGCAAGGGCTTGGGTGGAGGAAAGCACAGGGCAGGCTTCACTCCGGGGCACATCCCTGCTCGCTGTTAACCCAACTGCCACAGCAAGTGCCAGGGGAAAGAGCAAACAATTACGGAGCATGGCAGAGAAAGGGCCATCCCAGCAGAAGGGATAAAAATGGGGAAATCCCAGGGGACAGATCACTCCTTGAAGCTGGGGAAGGAGATGAATAAGGGGTATTAAGCAACAGAAGCGAGCATTGGAGGATGAGCAAGAAGAGGACATGGAGAGCAGGACGGGTGTGAACAGGAGGGAGAGAGGGAATAGGCTGCAGTGGGAAAGGCAGTTACCGTTTCGCAAAGACACTCGTCACACAGGACTTGGGGCTCTGGGCAAGCCAGCAGTTCCTCAGAGAGCAACCCCACAGCAAAGCCTCAGTGACAACCGCCCAGCTTGTGCTGAGTGTCCAGGGCTGGGGGGCAAAACCAAGGACACGCTACGAGGCTGAGCCCAGGAAACAAACCCGCAGGCAAAGCCTGAACGAGGAACGTAGCCAGCAACAGGAACATCCCAGCAGAGTGCTCAGACCCACGCGAGCAAACTCATGGCACTGCCCCAAAATCCCTGCTGAGCACTGGCAGTGCCACAGTCCCCAGTCAGAAAAGGGACCAAGATCAAAGACCCAGGACTCTTCCCCCCAAAACAGTGACCCTGAAAAATGAAAGCCCCCATGCCGCCAGCAATACAGTTCTTGGGGGGGGAGGGGGCACAAATCACCACCCAGCCCCAAGTTCAGGCACGTCCCCCATTCCCCACCGTCAGCCATGGGGCAGACCCCCACCAATTCCCCAGCGGGGCCGGACCCTGTCCTCGCTGGGCTGTGGAGGGGACAATGTGGATGCAGGGCCAGGCACGGTGGACCCCGCTGGGGAGAGGCCATGCTGCAGGACAAAGGGGACCATCTGCCATCCCGCCACGCTGGGGTCCGGCGCTGGGTTCACCCAAGGCACAGCTCGCTGCACAGCCCCAGCGACTCCCATACCAGCAGCCACGAAGCCCCCTACTCTGAAGCAAAATAGACTTGGTGG